ATGGCATACGTACATACATCTTCTTAACCTAACTAATCGGTCACGTGTTGCTTATACTGAATGTATCCCCAACCTGGGGGGGATTCGCCTAACGGGATTGCTTTAGAAAACGCCATCGCTTACGATTTCATTTTGTCATTTCTGCCCACCGAAGGTTTTCAAATACCTCACGCTCATTTTCTTTAATATTGTTATTACCAATGCAAAAGAAAAAAAAAAGAGCGCGAGGCATTTGAAAACCTCAGGCGGCTAGAAATAACAAAATGAAATCGTAAGCAACAGCGTTTTCCAAAGCAATCCAGTTAGGCGAACGGTCCCCTGGTGGATGACCTTTGTTTACTGCAGAAAGGCCGGCCTAAACTCTTAGTCAGGATCTCCATGTGGTTGGTCCCTCATGTCAGGATCGTGGTCAGAGTCAGGATTGCAGCTGGAGCAGACGATCTGCTTTTAACGGTGACTGTCCAGCGCCACTCTGACCGCTATATAAAATTTGGAAATGTACAAATCTTTGATTTGGTCGGACCATCTTGTTGGAGAACGACCAGGCGATCTTTTACCTTCGGTGTTCCCAACCACAAAAAAGATTTTACAAATTTCCGTCGCCTCTGCGCACTGTGTGGCCGAAGTAATATGTTGGACGAGTTTTTATGTGAAGCTGGGTTAGGATCAGGATAGGTGTGATTATTTTTCAGCACCCCTTGCTAGACCCTTGTTCACGGTACCTAAATTTACCTTTTCGCTGGAAAATTTCTTGAATTTGACTTTTATAGGCGTCCTTTGCTACATACTTGGCGATTAAGTTAAAGCGATAGAGTTCGAAGGGTTAATAATAACTGATAGTCTTTCGGAATCTGATCCCCTACCCAGTGGAGGCCCGGAACTGTCTGTCCACGTGTCCACCCTAAAAAGTGTTGGAAAATATCCACGGTGTAGGGGAGAGTATCAGGGTAAGCAATGTGGCGAATGATATTTTTGGCATCGGAAGCGTCTATTGGCTAGGTGGCCGCTTAGCACCAGGCGGCATTTTTGATATTTTGCAATGGTTAGGGAATAATTTTGCACGAATTGCTTTAATTATCAGTATAAAAGTACTATCATGTATGTGGTAGAATACTATATTTATTTATTGCGTTATCGTACACAAACATGACAATTTATATTACATTAAAAAAGTTTATCTCTCAGAAAAATCAACCTAGCCTAACCAGTCAAGTAGAAAATCCACTATGCCTTTTCTTTCTTTAAGAATTTATATTATGGTAGGGTAAGCTTATTTTTCCGAATCGGTGTGCAGATCTGTTATATCATCGTACAAGTAAATGGAACATGTGTGCTGAGATTTTTAAATTCCATGATCATCATAAATCAAATTAATATTAATTAATCATGATCCTGCTTTAAATCGACATTTAGTTTTTCTTTACCACAGCACAGACATCAAGGCCATCGATAAGGCAGAGATGGAGCTGGACTCACGCAACACCTCGAATCAACCTTGTGCCAGAACCGCGGTTCAAGGCTACATCGATACGATTTCATCTTGCATGTGTCGTAGGATGATTTAATAAATCGTTTTTCGCGATATTCGTAGGGATTTTGCGAAAACGCGTTGAAATATCATTCTATCATAATTTAATACCTTGCCAACTTGTAAACAAACATACGACTGCAGATGCAGCCGGGACCAACAGCTTCACGTACCTTCCGAAGCACGGAGGAGTTCGAGATAATAAGCTTTTGGTCACATATTCAATGACCGACCATTGTGAAAGTTGCTTAACCCCTACGATTGCAGGCCGAACGCGCTATCGAGCTCCGTACGTACGTGCTCTCTATACGTATTTCTGAAATATTTAGATTTTTTAATCATTTTGGATCAAACGTGCGCTAGCGTAGCACTCGTTGAAAGAATAGGATTAAGCTTTGCCGAAAGCTTGAATCGCTGAGTATTTCTTATTTATTAGACATAGTAAAATTATTAACTTCTTAACTCATCGAAGAAAACAATATCAGGGAATCAAACAACCACAATTCAGAATCATATTTGGAACACCCGACGCGAGGCTGTGCGCTATATAAAATACACGATAATATGACGTCGCGTTTCATAAGTATAGTGCGATTCAAAGATTCGAATAGATAGGAAAGCCAATGACCACTGTCATTTGTCAAATGTCGCTTGAAAAGTACGGTTGGCAAAAAAAACTTGGAACCTTTTTCTCTCAGCTAATTCTAGAATAAAAACCAAACATTTGTAAACAAACAATAACAAATATTGAGAATTAATATTGATTGATATTTTTTTTCATTTTTTGAGTTTTTGCTATGACTGGTCTTTTAAAAATCGTCAACCAAATGTCACTTTCAGTTGCGTTCATAAACTCGATTTATAACTTTCGTTTACATACGAACATGTATCCTATAATCGAATGTGACCTAGTAATATTGCATGATTATTCATAACTACTCCGGCGGTAATGCTGAAATGATCGGAATTGAAGAGCTAGATTCTGATTAATGTTTTTGGAGTTTACTCCTTAAGAATCGATTTGCATATTATATAAGGGGCCCGGTATGAGAAAAATGTGAGGAGTAAAATATATCGATAAATGACCTCGTTACGTTTTTGGTGCGCATCCTAAGTCGCGCAACTTTGACACACAAAGATGACGGATTGACATTAATAAAAATTTTAAAATCTGAACTGAATTTAGATATTGTTTCTGATAGAGCAATGGGGACAACGAGGTATGGTACAACCATTGATGCGGTATTTTCAAGATTCGTGAACCACGTATCTACGAACGTCCATGTGTCTTATTTTAGTTACCATAAACCACTTGTCACTGTAATTAATAATGCAGACAATGTTGATTTAATTAATATTTAAAAATAGTCTGATAATAATAATTACATAATTTATGAACATTCCTAATGATATATTTATGCACATCTTAAATTGACTATTGTAAAAAGTTTAATGTAAAATATTTCGTCGATTAGTTGTAATAAATATATATGAAATGAATAAATATATATTTATATATGTATATTATTTTCATTAATTTGTTAATTTACCCTTTCATACAGTATCAATCTTTTTTAAGTTAAATAAACTCATTTTGCGTCTGGTTAGACTATCCAACTTAAGGAGTGAACTCCAGTCGTGCGTCGGAGCTGACACACACATTTTTTTTTCTCACACGTCTTAGTAAATAAATATTATTAAAAATAGGTTGCTTTTCTCTCAATCTTAGTAAATAATTATTTAAAGAAAAATTTACTAGAAAAAATATCCACGCGGACCAGGCAGCGGACGGGACTCGAACCCGCACCCTTCGCAATCCGGGCGAATGCACTGACCATTATGCTACCAGTGCCCTATTCGCCGCGTTGAAATTTTCCTAGCCTTAAGCTGCAAGGCAGCGCCATCTCTTCGCATTGTAGGTAACCCACAATATCAAATGAATACTTTTTCAAGTATTAAACAAACATTTGAAAGAAGAAATAGCAATTATAGTTATGTTTTTATTTATTTTTAAGCATTTAACTGTTAGATGTCTAAATCTAAAGAAAAGTTTACCAGAAAAAAAATGTTTAGATTTAGACATCTAGCAGTTAAATGCTTAAAAATAAATAAAAATATAAATAATTTGTTATTAAAAAAAAAACGTTTTTTTTTCTCACTTAATCTTATTACATAAGTTTTACTAAATAAAAACATTTTTGCTCACTCTACCTATTTGACTGACTGGGCGCCATATTGTGATGTCACAATATGGCGCCCAGTCAGTCCTATTTTTTGTTGAATCGCATTTTAAGTTCTTGACTTCACTAAAAGGACTAAAAGGAGTCTGATCAGTGAATGCGTTAGTGTAGAAATGTGAAGGTATTGTTTTTTTTTTTGGAGTGTAAGTGTATGTGTATCTGTGTCTATATACAGTGTTGCCAACTTAGTGGATTTTCCACTAAAACTGGTGGTTTGGTACAAAAGAATTATACCAAAGTGAACGTGAAACCGATGACGACCGTGCCGACAATAATGATTCTACTTCTGAAGATTTAATTTAGAGAAGGCTTTATATAAGAATATTTTTTGTCGACACGATCGTTATCGGTTTCACATTACTAAAGATTGATCATGACCTGTTGATTGATTTATTGATACAATAAAAGTAATAGATTACTCATATCAGCATTGTTTCCTTTTGTACAACCATAAATTTTATTTAGTGGAAAATTTAGCGATTTTGATAGTAGGGTCGGTTTTTGTTAGTGGATTTCTGGTGGTTCTAGAAGTTGAATCTTGTGGGAAGCTGATTTAACGGTTGGCAACACTGATATAATTATGTGAATATGACTATCGTATGTATAGTATGTGAGTGTGTATATGTATTAATGTCTTTCTACATTTAAAAACTCCTTGGAGTTGCTTGTTTGTTCATTGTTTCTATATTGTATTTTTTTTTCATGGTTGTTACTTAATTTATTCTTTGTCATATAATTAATCATCTCCAATGTACACTGGTGTCAATTCTGGCGTGCATCTCTAAACTTAAAACTAAATTAAAGGTCAGTCTCACCTTTTCATTCTGTATAGAGAAGGACAAGGATGCACTGTTGTCAAATTTAAGTTTAGGTTTAGAGAATCATGCCAGAATCGACATCACTTACTATTTTTAAATTATGGGAAACCTGTAATAGGCCATACTTAAGTAGTTGGAACACTCAACGTTAAGCATTATGCCGCATAATGCGCAATAATGCTGTAATTGGAAAGCAACCAAGATCAGCAAATGTTTCTATACACACATCAACTGTACTTGCGTAAACTGAAACATATAGATCATCTACATCATACTACGAAAAATGCGAATAACGAAATTTATTTGTGTGTAACGTTTCGTTACTCGGTACTAGATGGCGTACCCGTTACTCAGTACCGAATACATACGGTTTGCTACAGCTCTACTGTCTGCCGTCGATCTGTCATAATAAAAATGGCGAATGTTCCGTTTTTGGGTTTGAAAACTCATTCACAAAAGGTTTGCAGTCTTTTTAAAAGGACTTTGCGGAATTTAGAGGCATTTTACGACAGACGGTATGTATTCTGAAAAGAAAATGTATGAATTTATGGTCCCACCAGGTCTCTAATTACGTAATCAAAGTTGTCATTTTTATTCCTAACCTGAATTTTGTTGATTTTCAGATTATTTCAAGATATTTTCTATTGCAAGTGATAACTTATGTTGCCTTCTAACCATAACGAGAAGGTTCCTTTATTTTTTGTTTTTGTTGTTATTTGTAGCTTTTTTAGTTAGTTTTAATTTCCTATCTTGATGTTTAAAATAAGTAATCTAATTGTTTCTGTTTTGCTATTTTTACCAGAAATGTGTACCGATATCAAGCAGTGCTTATGCGAGAACGCTTCGACAAGAACGCCCAGGTGAAAGACATGCGAGTAGCAACACAATTGCTCAAACAAGGTGAAGAAGAGCTGTTCTTACAACAACATTCTATCCCAAGGAAATGTAAGTAACAAATAAGGAAATCTACTTAAATTGACTGTAAACATTTTGCTTGTCCATATTTGTAGAATGCTGAGGACGTCCTACACTACGTTTGCCTAGACATGGTCTCTACTCCAGAACTAGTCTACCCCAATGGTTATCAGTTCTTCGGCAAATATGGCCAGCCCACTGCCACTTCAACTTGCTCCTCAGGCACGATGGAGTAACGATTTGCACAAGGTGGCTGGCAGGATCTGGATGCAAGTAGCCCAAGATTGATCTGAGTGGCATGCATTTGGAGAGGCCTATGTCCAGCAGTGGACTTAGATAGGTTGTTGATCATGATGATGATGAAGAATGCTAAGAAAGGCCATGTGTAAATTCGAAATAAACCAATATTGTGCATACTTTATGACTACATCAAATTATTCTACGTACATTATTTTTTCTATATGTAAGAAATAAAAAAAAATGTGTAGCACTAAAAATGTTGCTTTAAATATATATTTTTAATTATATTTATGAACTATCTTCTGTTAAATTAAATTACAGTAATTTACATTATTTATGGGATTGTTACCATGTAGCTTGTTTTTAGGGAGTTTTCGATATTTCGGCACTGTTGCATGTGACATGATCATGGATTAACTTTTACCCAGTGACCATGGAGTTAGCAACAGTGCCGAAATATCGATACATGGTAACAATCCTGTAAATAATGTAAATTATAGTGACCATGAAAGATTACAGAAGCTATATGTATCTTCTGTTATAGTTCCTCTGAGTCCTGGTGGAGTTGCCTATGAGCGTGTCGTGCAATCCCCTGACTGGGTATTGGACTACTGGCATCCACTAGAGAAGGCACAGTATCCAGAGTATTTCAAGAGACGTGAAGAGCGCAAGAAAGAGTTCATTGCTATGTGGGAGAAGGAATATGGAAAGGAAGAAAAAAAAGATCAGCACCACTAAATATGGATTGTAGCATAGTTTAATTAGCAAAATAAAAAAGTGTATTATCAACAAATGTGTGGTTTTGCTCTGGAATACTAAAAAAACTAATACTTTAAAAGTTAAGGCAATAAGAGATGTCACATCATGAAAAGACAAGGAAAGAAACACTATACCACTTCTTTAATAGCTAAATTGGTTAATAAAATGAAACGGGTTTCTTCTGGATGAATAGTAAATAGAAAAATAAACAAAAACTAACAAATAGCAGGATGAAATTTGGAAAGAGACAGGATACTTGAAAAGTATCCTTTAAGGTTCTCAGGTTTCTCTTTAAGGAAACAGTTTAAGGTTCTCGAGGGACCAATATCGAATATGTATAGTAAGCAAGTGTGAAATGTCATTGTGACGTAACGAGAACTAAAAATTAGTGTAAATTTGACGTATATTTGATCGAATTCAACTAGGTACTTATTCAAATTCAATAATGGTTTGTGTTAAGTGTACTCATTTGTGTAATAGTTTTCGCAAAATTAATAAATCGCGTATATCTGGACAAACTTCTAACATGGGGAGAGGTAATGGGTTGTAATTTCCTGCGCATAATATAAAAAAAAACACCCAATTGTTATTACCATTTTATTGTTAAACAATATATAGAAATATAGTCTAGGTTTTAGGTATGTATATTTACACAAATAGATCAACAGAAGACAGAGAATCATCAAAAATAGTTACAGTTATGCTTTGAAAATTTTTTTAACTAAAAAGCTGTGTTTAAGATATTTTTTTTATAGCTAGGTAGGCAAATGACTTTACCCTATCTGATGTTAAGTGGTGACCAAGTCCAGACGCGAAGATAGCTGGTACAGCAGTTATAAACTGCCACACCAACCATCCTCACCTTGCCGGTTTGCAGAAATATTTTTCACACCTCTCTTAACGACCCCAGATTGTAGGAAGGGGGAAACATGTACGCAGGCAAATAATTCTACTTGCAAATATTAAGCCAAAGAAATGAGTCACCAAATTAAGCTGGATGGATTATACTTATTCTTCATTAATCTGATGGTTTATAAGGAATTATCATAACCGATGTGATGACCTTGCAATATCTTACTAAGTAGGATGGTCATATTAATACACATGGTTGACATTCTCTTACTTGGTTTTGTACTTAACAATCTCCCAGAATACATAAAATATATGGTTTTTCAGGACCTACAAAAATATAATGCTGCTTTAGATCCTTACATACGCAAGGGTGGAAAAAATATGTAAATATTTTGTTGTTGTTACTACATAACAATAAATGCTGTGGCAATTTCATATTGTTTCCAACAAAAAAACATCTCAAAACAAGTTTTAAGAAAACAAAGATGAACTACTTAATTCGTAAAAATTTTGTTCTTTTACATTGTAAATTTAAAGGTAAATAAATAATTTTATGTAAGTATTTATTACTAGCTAATGTACTATGTATTGCTATGGATCTTACTTACAGAAAAGGAAACCGTTGATATATAAAGTAAGCTATAAAAATGCACAGAAGTAGAATAACATAGAAATAAAGAAGTTAATATTCGGTTGATTGTAATTATAATAACATCACATAGCCTTAGATTAAAACAAAAAGGGAAGATACGGTACGCTCACACTAGCATCAAAGAAAATATGCACATGCACAATTCTACAAATAAACATTCAGTTGAGTTCTTCTAAAAGCATCGAAGGCATTGTTTTATCTTGATAACACAGAATATAGGTACGTTATATTGATTGCACATGCAGTGTGTTTGGATGTCAAATTGTAACTAAAGTGAATTGTGGTCATGCACCACAATTTAGGTGGTTAACTATTGAGCCACGAGTGCTGTATCTTCCCTTTATGTTTCAATCTAAGCACATAAGCAACAAAATACTATAACAGTTTTTACCGTTAACAAAAAAATATTGCAAGTTCAATTTGGTGCCAGGGTTTCTCAAACTGTATTGAGTCAGTCCACACACAATAAATTATTATTTTGACTGTTTTCGTAATTATTATTAGAAAAACACATTGATGCTATTTTTTCACCAATACATTATTATATTTTGTTCCCTTGAAAAATAGGGTTGTAGTAATTATTTAGGTACCTACATATTTTTTTACATTCTTTCTACAACAACAATAAAACGTCATTAATCCACGAAATGATTTAAAAAAATTTATTGTATCTGAAATCACACTTTCGTTCAATGTAACTATAAAAATATCTCTTCATTTAACAAATTTTGTTACCTTGCTACACCAATGTCAACTTTAATGCCAATGGAATAAATGTTCATAAGCTTTCATAAAATACATTCTTGATCAGATTACCCCATATTTTACCATTACCAATGTATAGAACCACAAAATACAATTTTGGGTGAAATAAGGATGCCAACTTCATGAACTGACATAAAATTACCATGTGGTTTTAATAAATAAAGTTCCCGAATAAAATTATAAAAGCTGTTTCCAATTTCTATTACCACTATGCCTTATATTTTACAATGACGTAATGTAATTACCATATTTTATTTTACATTTGGAATACAACATTCCTACTTTTTCAGGTCACACTGTAAATCGAAAATTAACTATAAATAAATAAATTATATTCTAATATCATTTTCACATAACCGACCCTAAGTATGTAAAACGCGTGGGCGAATTAATTTGTCAAATAAATAACAATTAGGTTCATCGCACGCGATCTACATTCAGCGACCATTAAGAAGTGAAACAGTTTAAAAGTCTTGGTTAAAAAGATCATGTTGTATGGGTTAGCCTTTATATATATATATAAATAAAAATTCGATTTACAGTATATTATAACCTTATTCAATCACATTTACTAAAAATATGTTTTACATTTGCATAATATCTATACAAAAATAATCAAAATGAAATGTCGCAGAAAACTAAGGTACTACGCCACTCTCACAGTAAAAATAATGGCGTTATTTAAAATAAATTCTTTCCGATTTGCATAAATTTGAATTCATAATCCACATTCGCAATATCTTTTTATTTCATGTGAGACTAGCACTTCCATTGGCCATTTGTATTTGCTATTTTATACATTTGGCAGCAGTTTATCATTATCATGGTCTACAGAAAGAGAGAGATTGATGTTAAACTTACAAGTAACAAATACGAATAGCCATTTAAAGTTTCAGCATGATACTCTTGACATTTAATTAGCTTGCACGATATTTAAGGAGTCATGTTAAATAATTTGGTTATAAAAATTGCCATCGGATTATTAGGATCAAGAAAGTATGCCGTGACAAAATAAGTCATTGAGGCCGATTCCGTCACGTTTCCCTAAACCTTTTATTCACTTTAATGTTGTCAAATTAAATTTATCAACATTGTATCCTTGTCAAGCTCTATACAGAATGAAACGAGAGACTGTTTGTGTTTGTTGACTGTTGTTGTCAAATGTAATTTTAGGTTTAGAGAATCATGACAGATCTGATGTGAATCGATGTTGAAACTCACTAATTTTATTAGATACTACGGTTCCCATGTTTGTGTGATGACAATAAATGTGTATGATTATTATGCTAGCTCTTCACGTGACTTCGTATTTGATATTCATTAATTTGACGGTCTCTCCTTTTCATTTCTAATAAAGTACAATAAAGGTTGACTGATGTCAATTTAAAGAAATATTTACTAAAAAAAGTTTCACTCGGACCGGGTATGTGGCAAATCACGAGGAAATCTAGTAGTTTAATGCTTAAAATAACCATACAACAAATTAGTTTTACTGATGTCATTCCGGCTTTTCACTTGACTATTAGTATTTGCTATTTGTAAACTTGACAACACTCTGTCCTTTTCATGCTTTCTAAGGAATGAAAAGGACGGACAGATGTCAAGTTACAAAAAGCAAACACGAATAATCAAGTGAAGTGCCGGCGCCAAGTTCACAAATAGCAAACACTATTAGCCATGTGAAGTGCTAGTATTAGGAATAGATTCCAGTGATGCTCAAACTGTGACTCAGTTGCCTCCTAGCGTGTGTCCGCGCCCCCAGTTGTGCCCCCCGAATACTGTGCCCCCACCCCCACCCCCGGCTCTAGTGGGTGCCCTCGCTTGAGGCGCAGTGCCGAAACCACCTACGTATCTGGTGTCCGGGAATATCTGCTTCCTATGAATAAAACGAACATAATAACAGACTGCATATTCCGTTTTCAGTGGGGAATTACTGGAAATGGCTACTAGAGAGTTCGTTTTTGGAGAATAGCTACTAAAAGTTTTATTTTATTTGAACACTATAATTTGTCTCATGAGCATAAAGACCAAATAGTAGGCGTATTCGGTCTGTGTAAACAACTTTCACAACAACTTGTCATGGGATGACCAAAAATTTAGAATCCTGAGTTCCGACTTCAGCAGGCACATTAAGCCGTTGGTCTGCCATCGTTAGCACCTACCAATCCGTACATCTCCCACCCCATTCCGTCCATAGGGAAGGCCTATACCCTGTGAGCAGTAGGGAGATAAGAAGGCTGATGATGAGGATTAAAAAATAACAAAGTTTCTGTCTAAACCTATCAAAACTATGAATAAAGGTTTTAATTGCATTAAAAGAAAGTTTTTTATGAATACTTACAAGAACGCAGGGGGATTTAATAGAGCGGGACCACCAAACTCTTGAGGGTACTTGAATTGGAGGAAGAATGATAAGTGTCCAATCAGGATGCCTAGAAGTTCCATCACGCCACTGCAATTATTTGGGATATTTTTATTTAAATAACAATTTTAGTAACTTTTAAATAGAAAAATTAAAACAAATTCACAAAACAAGTCAACAGTTTTAGTTAAGAGCCCTTTCACATTTTTTACAAAAAATCGTATTTTTTGAGCGCCTCGTTTACCCCATTGGAAAAGTTAATGTAGAATATTTGCAAATACTATTTTTCTTTTTTTATACTGATCGTTCTACCGCAGCTAGTTTACGGAAAAAACGATAATATGCACAACTTCAAACGCCTGAATCTCTAAATAATGTTCAATAAATTAGATCAAATTAATTACTACGACATCAGAAATATGTTATTGTTGTAACATAATGTATTAGAATTTTGATTTTCCATCTCATTAATTATCAAAAAAAACATCTAACCTCCGTCAGTTTTCCCAAAAAACAATGCAGGTTTACCCGTATTTTGATATTGAATTAAATAGAATTACTTTCAAAAACTTTCATAAAACTAATCTACCATTATTAACTACTAAAAATTTATATATTTTTATAATTACTTTATAATACTCGAAACATCACCCGCAAAATGCAATATTACTAATGCAAATCTACCTACGCGCCGATCAGTACGGCAGCGGCGCAATTTTGTAAAAGGGGTCTTAAATAAAAAACATTTATCATTTTTATTATGTGGGATTTAAAAAAAATGTAACAGTACATTGTAAACTTTATAATAACTTACTTAATTGATTCAGTGAACTAATAAATCAGGAGTATTTTATTTCCTTATGTATTACAAATACATTTGCTAATATTTTAAAGGTATTTATATAACAAAAAGTTTATAGACAATTTCTATTAACTAAGAGAGCACATAATTTTATGCTCATAGAATAACTATTAGAAATACCTACCCTCCACTGAGGATCATGTTGAAAGCCAACAGAACCCATGGCAGGTACATGGCCTTGAAGCGTGTTCCGAACCAGAAGGAAACAATCACATCCTTATTTAGCTGACACCATACATAGAGCACAGAGAGCACCATGGGGTCCATCAGAAGCTGTAGACAAATAAAATGTTGAGAACCGTTGGTGACATATTGTCAAAGACATTAAAATCTAAACTAATATATCTACATTTGACTTTTTGGCGGAATCGGGAAGCGTCACTTTAGCAGTTTTGTTTTTCTTGTTAAAAATTGTGTTGTGGCGGATGTTAGTGTATAATAATGGCGGATTATTAACCACTAAGTGTTCGGGAACATGCACAAGCGTGGCAACACTTTCGCTACTTTGTTTCACTTGCCAAAGAAAAACAAAGTAGCGGAAAGTGTCTTTCGACGTTCCCTCAAGGAGTCCACGGGGAGGTTTCAGTAAAGGACAATGGGCAAAATTGCATGGACACTGCACCCACGTCCGCCACGGCTTAAACTACATTTGTTTGAAAGTTATCATAGTCATGATCATTTGTGCCAAAGCGCATCAAATTCTATCCCGGGAGTCTTTAGTTATTTTAAGTTAAATAGGTACAATTCCATAGGTAAAAGTAACTATAACGAACATAATATTTAAAGATACAAGGACGAGTATATAGAACGGATATATTAATTGACGACCACGGAGGTCGTCAATTAATATATCCGAGTCGAGTGGTTTGTACGCCGGGTTTCATGGTGTCGCTGGCTCGAGAGGTCCCGGGTTCGAATCCCGGTGGGGGCAGATGTTTGTGTGCTGAGTACGAGCATTTAAATTGATCCATAGATTTTTTATTAGCTCGTATGATTATAATGACGTACGCGATGATAATCGTGTTCCTATTTCTAAAGCGTGTTAGTTAAATATCAATGAAATAACAGGGAGCGCACAACATGTAAGACATAGGACTGCATACGAGTAGACTAGTTGCAACGGCAACTGCAATATCACATCCTTCAACCCCCATACCCTGTTAGACGTTTTGAGGAGTCTCATTAAGTGCAAGCAGCAAGCAAGCAGGATAGTCGGTAGGCTTTGTTGTTTAGTATTTTGTATCTGGTTGTACAGTAAGATATGATTCACTCACTTATTATTGCTAATGGGGCATTCCACGCGAAGCGGACAGGTAAAAAAACTCGATGTTTCCGATTTCAGTAATATTTGAGTATGTTCTACTTATACTTATTATTGATACGCGTACCAAATATTTTTGTGATATAATGACTAGTTAAAGAGTAATGGGACTTTGAAGTTTTCGACAACCGGTTGGCATGCAGTACTTCAAAGCCGATTATGGACTCATAAAATTATATATTAAAATAAGTAAACCACTGGATTTCCTACTTTATTTACTGGGCTTTTTAACTGTGTTTTTGGAAAAGAAAAAATAAATTTTTTTTCGTAAAAAAGATCCAATTTAAGTTTTTTTCCTTGATTTTCACCAAGTTAGACCATTTAGTTTTTTTTTATTTTTTTTATATAAATTGCTAATATTCTGTAGAACATTGGTGCCAACTTTTATAATGGGCGTGAAATTGGATTAGGAGCTAGACTGAAAATACTGCCGAAGGGTGGCGTCCAGCGCCGCGCCTGTTGACCGCCGCTTGTGCGCGATTAGTCATCTAAACTTTCAATCAAATAAAATCACTTTTGACGGAATGTTTTGTAGATTTTTAATAAAACCAATACATAGAAAAAAATCCACGCGGACCAAGCAGCAGACGGGTCTCGAACCCGCACCCTTCGCAATCCGGGCGAATGCACTGACCAATTATGCTACTGCGGCCCTCACGGACCGCGTCGAAATTCCTCTAGCCATTCTTAAGCTGCAAGGCAGCGCCATCTCTTCGCATTATAGGTAACCCACAATGTCAAATGAATACTTTTACAAGTATTAAACATTTGACAGAAGAAATAGCAATTATAGTTATAATTTTTATTTCTTTAAAGCATGTAACTGCTTGATGTTTAAATCTAAAGAAAATATAATTAGAAAAAAATCCACGCGGACCAGGCAGCAGACGGGACTCGAACCCGCACCCTTCGCAATCCGGGCGAATGCACTGACTAATTATGCTACCGTGACCCTCACGGACCGCGTCGAAATTCCTCTAGCCATTCTTATTAAGAATTAATCTTAAATATTAAAATTAATCATACTTGGGGAGGGGGGGGGGGGGTGGGTGTCACACAGAAAGTGTGACACAGCGTGACAATAGGGGGGGAGGGGGTCGGAAAAAGCTGATTTTAGCGTGACGTATTTTATGAACGGCCCCTAATATAACATTTTGGATTACCTATAATGCGAAGAGATGGCGCTGCCTTGCTGCTTAAGAATGGCTAGAGGAATTTTGACGCGGTCCGTGAGGGCCGCGGTAGCATAATTGTTCAGTGCATTCGCCCGGATTGCGAAGGGTGCGGGTTCGAGTCCCGTCTGCCGCCTGGTCCGCGTGGAATTTTTTCTATGTATTGGTTTATTAAAAATCTACAAAACATTCCGTCAAAAGTGATTTTATTTGATATACAGTTTGATGACTAATCGCGTACAAGCGGCGGTCAACAGGCGAGGCGCTGGACGCCACCCTTCGGCAGTATTTTCAGTCTAGCTCCTAATCCACTTTCACGCCCATTATGAAAGTTGGCACCAATGTTCTATACAATATTAGCAATTTATATAAAAAAAAATAAAAAAAAAGTAAATGGTCTAACTTGATGAAAATCAAGGAAAAAAACTTAAATTGGATTTTTTTTCCGAAAAAAAGATATTTTTTTCTTTTCCAAAAACACAGTTAAAAAGCCCAGTAAATAAAGTAGGAAATCCACTGGTTTAGTTATTTTAATATATAATTTTATGAGTCCATAATCGGCTTTGAAGTACTGCATGCCAACCGGTTGTCGAAAACTTCACAGTCCCATTACTCTTTAACTAGTCATTATATCACAAAAATATTTGGTACGCGTATCAATAATAAGTATAAGTAGAACATACTCAAATATTACTGAAATCGGAAACATCGAGTTTTTTTACCTGTCCGCTTCACGTGGAATGCCCCTAATATTATAAAACGAAAGTACTATTGATATTGAATGAATTTCTTTAGCTATTTAAATATCATCATCATCAGCCTATTGATGTCCCCACTGCTGGGGCACAGGCCTTCCCTATGGATGAAATAGGGAGATTGGGCCATGACCCACCACGCGGGCCCAGTGCGGATTGACGGGTGCTAACGACTGCAGATGCAGCCGGGACCAACGGCTTAACGTGCCTTCCGAAGCACGGAGGAACTCGAGATAGATGTTTTTGGTCACCCATCCAATAACCGACCACTGCGGAAGTTGCTTAACTTCAATGATCGCAACCGAACGCGCTAACCACCTGCGCCATCGAGCTTCTCTATAAGGAGCTATTTAAATATGCCCGTGTGTAACCGGTCCCCATGACTTACACACAAAAGTCGTCTATAAGGACTATGTGCGGAAACCTTAACCCCTAATATAGAACATACCCAGGTGTATATCTTTTGACCCCCAGGTTATTTTTTTTGGTGCCAGAATAAAAAAGGCTAGTTTTTCATAGATCTATCGATTCATACTAATTACATTGTTGGCGGAGCTGGGTGCGTTTTGCCCATTGTCCTTTCCACACTTTTACTGAAACATAGGGAAAGGGGGATTGACTTGACTGCCACTTACTTTGACTTGATTTATTACTTTGACCACGAGTACTATAGTATTTGTACACATTTTAACACTTGACATTGGCTAAATGGACATGCCGTGCGAAGCCATTTAAAAAAAGAAATCTACATTTGAAACGAAATCAGAAGATTTTACTTGATAACTGAACGTGATAAAAACGAGCTATATATCATATCGGTGCTAAAAACACGCATTAAAATCACGTTAAAGACGTCACAAGTTAGTAAACTTCCGGTCAATGACACTACCTTGTATCGTTTGACGTTTTAATGACAGTCGTGGGACGTCACATTGGGTGTATTCCGTAATATATACACTGGTCAGTGCTGTCGTCATGAATCGACGCTATACTGGTGAATTTTTCCGAAATATACTGGCCAGTGCATTGACGATTTTTGATAAAGAAGATTTTTTATTCACCTCTTCAATAGGGATGATGACTAAATTTTTTTTCTTCGTTTATCAGGTAGATTATCAAAAAGTATTGGACACGTATTTTTTCTTTTTTCACATAATATAAACATTGCAGAGATATATTGATTTGAAAAAGTCGCATGACGTCACGTTTAAGTACACTTTTAAGCGAATATTCACTAAAAAATGACGTCACGAACTCCCAAACTTTGACGCGCAATAACTTTGTATTTTTTTGGTTGATTGCCCAAAGAAAAAAGAATTTCGTTTACTGTACCCCGTCATCACCCCTATTAAAAGGAATTCTTTTTGTTCGGATGCCATTATTGTTCTTTAAATAAAAAAGAAATGAAATTCGAATGCATCACCCGCACGCTCGGTCATACGTCATATTCGTTTTCCCGGTAAAAAATTAGTTGCTTGCGTGCGGAGTTTTCGACGTTGGTGTTGTGTGCTTTAATTTTAATTTTATTTTCACTGAAACTATTTTCTTTAGATTTAAACATCAAGCAGTTACATGCTTTTAAATTCGTTTATTGTATTGTGAATTTTAATCTGACATTTAATTGCGTGACCTCATTTATATGGGTCAGAACTGAAAATCAGCAATTTACTCTCGGAGTAAATGTTACGCTGAGTTTTCGCCCATTTGCATCGCTGCTGCACACGAAAATATCACTATAGTTGTATAAATATAATTTGTTGTATGTTTTAAAGGATTTATATAATTGTAAAATTTGTCTTCAATTTTGTATGTGTGCATGTTGGTGTGAATAAAGTTTTATCTATCTATCTATCTAAAAATAAGGTAGCATACCAGTACAATATGGCGTCGGATTCGTGACAGTGGTAATGAACCACTGACCAGTATACTGATGTATATTTCGGAATTATATCGATATTCGAACACCCTTGTATACTATAGAAACGCCATAATGACCATAATGTCAATGTAGTGAGAAACGTTTTCGCGGCAACTTAGAAATGGAATTTAGATTTAGTTTTTTTACTAAAAACACAACAGAATGATGAATATCCACTAAACATTAGTAAATAAATACCCCATTGGCAGATACCTATTGCGCGCGTGACGCTCCACTGTGCGCTGACGCTTGGTCAGTGTGTTAGGTCGAGGGATTTCTACCGAGATACTTGTATAAAATGTTAAAATCTGAGCTCACGCGCTATGCGACGTAACGCGCTGCAGAGGACCGCCTTACTGCATAATACAGTTACTGCCATTTGTTGTTAGCTTAATAATTCAAAATTTATATAGTACATAGTTAAGAATCCAGTTCACTTAGGATAGAGTAAATAAACTACAGTATTCGTTTTGTGCACGAGCACACGATGCTTTGCAAGGTTATAACATCGCAGGGGGGTCGCTGGCGCCCCAGCAGCGTACATTCTTTAAGACGCATAAGAAATGAGCGGCGTCATTCCGACGTCGCAACAATATAACCCCTCCCCGCGCCGCGTCGTCTCGGCGGTTGCAGGTCTGGTGTGGCGTCGCAGCGCATCGTATGATCCTACCTATTTTGCAAGATAATTAGTTTTCACATACAATTGTATACATACCGGTAAATTAACCAGCAAACCAATGATCACACAGCAAGCCCAGTTGAACAGCAGCATGTAGAAGTAATCAGCTGGTTTACCAGCAAACATGCCCGTCTCCAGCCGCTGAGAGTAGTTGTACAAGAAGTAGCAGTTGATGAGAAAGTGGAAGCCTGTGCCGGGGCCAATGGGATAGAAGAATAATGCCGTTACTGGTCTCCATATCTGTCGATGGTAATATTGTTATGCAATTAAACGGTGATGTATGAATATAAAAATAAAGAATTATAATACCAAACTGTAAACAATATTTTTATGATGTAAAATAATTAAATATGTAGGTAATGGTGAACTGGGACTGAGACAAAACCATGAATGTGTCAATTGGTAAGTTTGCAATGTTTATGGTAAAACCATCAATAAAATGGGTTACTTTAGGATATAGACTCTGGATTTGATGCTTGGGGGAAGGAGAGAGGGGAGAAGCAGGTCCACTCTCACTACTGTTACTCCTTCCTTGTAGAAATGCAAAATAAGTAATGAATGTATGAAGTTAAGATTTTACTAAAAACGTGAAATGAAAAAGAAAACCTAGCATGTATGATTATGAAGATTTTAGGGGATTAGTATATAAAGCAATTTCATAATTGATTCAGGCAAACCTAAGATGCAATACCAGTATCCTAATGTTACAAAAAAGGTATTTGCATAACAATTATTTTCAAACAGCAGCTTTGCCTAGGAAATGAATATTGAATAATAATCAAGCTATGTTTAGTCTCATTGCAGTGGCAAGATTCTCCTGATGTTGCTGTTGTTTTCTTTAGTGTGAAATTGCCGGCAACGGCCTTACAATTAATCAACATTGTTTCTAAACTTACAACCAAGGCTTAGATTATTGCATATAAACACTGATTCATGCTATCACGATTATCGCCTTACCAGCCTTCGTTACAGGATAAGGCATGATGCGATGTGTGTAAAAGTGTGCTATCAATTATAAAGTTAGCTAATTTGAAATTCAAACTCAATACTTACTTGGAACTGATTAATGAAGGGATAAAAGTCCAACACTAAATTGTAGTAGTTGATCAAGCCAAACCGACCGATTAGGCTCAAAACTATTGTACATGTTAACCAATAACGTGTGAAAAACGGTACACTGTTATACCAATCTCTAAATTCAGACATTTTTAAATAATTTCACAGATCACAGTTTGTAAACACTCACTCCAATTATCAACAGTGAGCTTTTAGCCGTGTCAGTACATCTATAAACCTTTTAAAGTTGTTTGCAATTGTGCCGACGATGACGATTTGAATCAAAATAAATGTTGATGATGAAATTCAACACAAATAATGGCAAGTACACGTGTCCGTAAAGAATTTGTCCAGATTAATGGAGAAGAACAATGATTTTTATTCATCCATTTGACATTCATATTTTTCGAATGGCAACCCATTAATTTTTTTTTAGGTTCACCTTTTTTTAGAGAAAGCAAAGGAAACAATATTCATACAGCCTAGTCTTCAGTGTTCTTTGTTTTTTTTTTTACATTACAATGTGGGTGTGACGCATTCTAATGTTTCTTGGAGTGTTTGGCACAAAATGTATCGAGTCAGCTTTCTCAATAAGCTTCTGCGAGGTAGTCAATAGTAAAATAAAGTTCTCACGTCCACTTGTTCGCGAATATTTTAAAGATTCCACTAATACTTCAGTTGTGCAGACGGTTGTAACACAAAATCACACCAGTTTTATTTCGCAATATCCACTATGAAAGAATTAAAGAATAATTAAAATATAACGCCAACCGCACTCGATGAAATCCCGCTAAACATTTACACTGTGTGAAATAACTAGTCTCATCCATTTCTATTCTTTAAGGATTTTTAAAGAATCCTTTGCTTTCAGTCATGACATTTTGCTGTCTGACATTTGTGTTTTTTTGACATGTTTTGAAATCTTTTATTTTCTTCTTCGGATCGGAAGTGCCTAAAAGTAAACACTGGTTTATAGCAAAAGAAAATCGTATAAAATGAGAAATCTGATAAAAAGATTGTTTCTAGCTACAAATTTATCAACTAACAGAAGTATTCATGTAAGATTGTATGCTAAAAGTGCAAAAGAAAACAAAAAGAAGGAAGAATTGGAAGATACTGTTGAACTTAAGAAGAGTAAGGTTATTTTTAAGAAGCGGGCTTTTTTTTATTCGCATTTATTACATTACAGCTAAATAATTCAATTTACCTGTAGTTATAGTGTATATATCCAGTAAATTACTGCGAATAGTTTACAGCTAAATTAATGTTGTGAAAACTGCGTAACGAAATACTGATTCTATTTTTACGATTCAGACATAGTCGTGGAAAAGTTCAACGGCATAACAACTATAAATATTGACCGTCAACACACGCGGAACAGTCTCGACGAAGCAACACTTAGGGAAATGACTGCAGCTATCAATGCATTTGAAAAAGATGAGACTTCTAAAGTGCTTGTTTTCAATGGTGAAGGTGGTTCGTTTTGCTCTGGATTTGACATAGATGAAGTCGATGCCAAAGGATATAACAACATGAAAGATGCTGCGGTGAGGATTATATATCATTACTTTTGGGTAGTTGGGTCGTATAAACCATTTTGGCCAAATTGAGTTACATAAACCATTTTTCTCAGAATATTTTTCTCTATTGATCTGTATATATGAAATGCAGAAATTCGCACAAAAATGGTTAGTATAACCCAGAAAATTTCGGTCATACTCTCTTAAAAAAGGTAAATTTTCAATGTAAAAGCCGAATGTTTTTTTTTGCAGTTTTATTATAATGTAATGACCATAATTTATATTAACTAAGGGCGTAAAAAAAGTCGTTAATTGTAAATGGTTTATACGCCCTAACGTGTTACATACACTACTTAAACATAGTTTAAATTTGACGTCATAAATCCAAAGGCAGTTCGCGAGGTTGGTGTATAAACCATGTTCATTGCAAGAAGCACTTTACGACCAACACACAAGGCTCTCATTTGGTGCGCAGCGACAAGCAGAAGAACATGCGGGCTAGACAGATACACAGTTTTATTGTTATTAGAACAAATGAGTAATGTAGTGACTAAATCAATGGTCGTATAAACCAAAACTGGACTTTTCAGGAGAGCAGAAAGTCTATTTTTTTTTCACAAAAATTCATAACTTTTTTGTTTTTAAATTTATAAAAGAATGATATATGAGAAAGATATTGGTACCAATTACCAACGGAATGAGAAGGTAGCTAGTCACAGGATATTTAGTGACCTGCTTTTGTTTTCATTGATTTAGTCCATTGGTTCTTGTCGGTCATTGGTGCCACTACCTTAGCATAGGATGCTCATCATAAATGAAAACAACTCAACTGAACATACAGATTGCTGAAAGCTAGTAACTATGCATACAGCAACCACAAAATAATATTTTTCGAATTCAATGATTATTTTCCTACAAATTTGAAGAAGATAATAAATTTATATTAAAATTTTGCAATAAATATTGATACCTTTGGGTAGAAAGGTCGTATAAACCAAAACCTGACTTTTCAGGAGAGCAGAAAAACATGTTTAAAAAATACAAATATTTTTTTACATAAAAATTTATAACTTTTTTGTTTTTAAAGTTATAAAAAAGGATCTATGAGAAAGGTTCTTACAATTTGTAAATGAAAAAGGTTATATCATCTAAACCTATATATCTTCTTTAGTTTTTAAGTAAGCATAGATTTTAATTTTTATTTAGTTAAAACAGGATGAGTGGCATCCTGTTTCAGTAAATAAAAATGCTATAACTAAGTCAACTGTTGAAGACTAGATATAGGGAATAGTAATTAAATGTCAACTGTTTTTCAGGTAAGGCTACTTCAAAGACCACTTTGCGATAAAACAACTATAGCAGCAGTGTCAGGCTATGCAGTTGCTGAAGGATTTGAATTGGCTTTAGCATGTGACCTTCGTGTCATTGAGGACACTGCTGTCATGGGATGCTTGGGGAGAAGGTTTGGTAAGTAGGTTTGTTTTGTATGGTATTCCAACATTGAAATAAATAAGAACCGTCAGAGAATGGAACCGTTTGCCATGAAAACAAAAAAAATAGGTGATGTTTTTTTTTATTATGACTTCTGGCACAGGGTAGATGACTTGATCTTGATTTGCTCATAATTAAATAGGTTTCAATGCCCCTCAATGTGCTGGAAAAAGGAAACATCTCACAAAAAAAATTTAGAGAACACTGCAAAGCAAAGCTGTGACATAATCACTGTAAGAAGAGTTAAATAGATAGCAAGCTACAGTCCCTCTAGTTCCCACAGTTGTATTTAATATTTATAATAAAGTTTTATTTCATATCCAATTGTAATTCATGCACGTCTTTGTAAGTACTTTCTCATAAATAAATAAATATTTAAAAGTAAATTCAAGGGTAGTTGGTTAACGACTTTACCCAGTAAAATTATAACAGGACTTCATACATTTATAGTTCCATACCAAGTGTAATTTGTATTCTTGACAGTATTGAGTTGGACAAACAAAAATTTAACAAAAGGTTAATTTTTTTTGTCTTATTTTCCATATTACGGCAGGTGTACCACAATCGTTGTTTGGTGCCAGGCGTCTCACTGCTCTCGTGGGGTTGTCCCGTGCACTCGACCTGCTGATAACTGGCAAACTTATATCTGGTGTGGAGGCACAACAAGCAGGGCTCTGCTCCAAGCTCACGGCTACAGGCACTGGTTTGTAATAGTTTATCCAGTTTTACTAAAACTAGTTCCTTATCTTAGAGTAAATTAATTCAACTAACGTTTTAATGCAAGTGTTATTTCTGCTCCAAGCTCCAAGCTCCAAGTTGTTCATAGGGGTAAGGTTGTGGCCCACATGGCCACAACCCATTAAGCCATTAAGAGTGAAGGGGGGAGCGAGACGAAAAAATATTATCTTTGCTTGCAGCTATCTTGCAACCTATTAGAGCATTTGTTATTTTGTTATTATCGCTTGGAGTGTCGTTATAGTTGTCTATCCATAGAGTAGGGGATTAGTTTAAGACCTTCAAAGTGGGAATGGTTAAAACTTTTGCCACTTTAGCTATCTTCACTAGACTCCACACGCACTTAACATCAGTCAGAGTGAGGTAATGTTTTGCACCTAGTTTAAGAAAAAACCTTAAATTCCCAAAGAAAATATGATTAAATAATCACAAGTTTAACTTATTTTACTGCAATATCACTTCTTCACATTGCAGCTTTAGGAGAAGCAATGAAACTCGCGAAATCCCTAACAAAATTCCCTCAGAATGCGTTAATGATGGACAAGATGGCTGCCGTCAACTCCCAGTTGAACCCGAACAGCGATGAAAGTATGAGGGATGAAGCTGTCATGACCAGCTTATTGGGGGGAGCTATAGAGGATATCAAGGCTGGAGTCAAGAAGTTCCAGGGTGGTAAGTTTACTTACCATAGTAGGAGTGTTTACTAGGGAATGAACAATCGGAACAAAAATTAAAACCCGGGATTGTCGGGACTACCGGAACTTTCTACATTTTCAGGACATAGGTATATAATTTTGTGGAATATTTATTGGCGATTTAAGGAAGGCATAAATTTAGGCATAAACGCATAAATTTTCTTATGTCACGAGTCACGAGTATTATCATTTTATCAGCCTTTATCGTCATCCAAAGAGTTTTACTCTCTGAGCGATGTCTGGTGCGTGGTCGCACTCCTTGCTAAATTTCCATGTCGGTTATTTAAGTTTTCCTACATATATATGCTTATTTATATTTCTATTAATTGGAAGAATACCGATCATTCCTCCCGCATACCCTTGCTGTTCGACCTTTAGCCTTTCGTTTCGTTTCCGTATGGTGACTTTACTGCCAAAAGTACGAAAAAACTGAAGACCTTTGTCTTCAGTTGCTCCTCATTAGCGATGGGCGTTGAATTAACGAACGGTTTAAATAGACGGTCTACGTTCAATCGACGCTTCGACGGTCTACAGTTAATTCGTTAACTAGTTGAATTCATAGACGGCTAAACTGAGAGTCCACAGCGTTCATATCTACTGACAAAGCGTCGACGACGCGTAAACGTATCTGGTTTACCCGTTACAAGTCCATACGTTCGTTCGTTCATTCGTTGAAATAAAGCATTTGAAACTTAAGTATATGGCGTGGGAGTTGATATTTGTTCATTTTTTAAACTAGTTGTTAAAGTGAAAAGGTAAGAGTATTTTTATATTGCGCGAAAGAGTACGTCGAGGGATCTGGCTAAACGATGCAGTGCAGGATGAACGGGTTTATAATAATGGTTTTCCTCAAGTAGTTGCAGTTTTGTTTATTGAAATTAGTGTGTTGCGACGTCAAGGTCAAGGGACCCGTGAATGCGAATTAAGTGCACAGTTCGTTTAAATTGAATGTTTATATTATGAGTTTAATTTGTAATTTATTTTGTAAACATTTAAATGACTATAATGTAAAGCGAATACTAAATAAAGACCCCGTCGTCGTCGTTGCGTCGCGCCCGCAGACCAGTCACCGCGTAGTTGATATAAACCCTTTAAAGCCTGCCGTTATCACGTCAACTAGTCGAAGAATTCAACTAGTTGATCGACTAGTCGATGGACGGTAGTGGACCCACCTCTACTCCTCATCTCTGCTTTACCGCCGGAGTAGTTATGAATAATCATGCACTATTACTATGCCACATACGAACATGTATCCTTTATGTAAACGAAAGTTTCAAATCGTGTTTCTGTACACAAATTACAGTGACATTTGGTTGACGATTTAGGTTATCCAACATTCATAGCCAAAGTTAAATAAATGAAAAAAAATATCTACTAATATTCATTATCAATATTTGTTTGTTTACAAATGCTTTGTTTTTATGCTAGAATTAGCTGAGTGCTAAAAAAGGGTTCAAAGGTTTTTTTGCAAATCGTACTTTTCAAGCGATTTTTGACAGATGGAGGTCTATGGCTTTCTTAATCGCTGATTTGATTTTTTGATTTGATTGAATCGCACTTTACATTAGATAGATACTTTGGCATTTTTGTAAAAAAAAACATTGTCATCTCCATTGACATAAAGTTCATGATACGATGGTTACACAGTTTTGTTTAAAAATTTGCTTCCATTTCAAATGCGACGCGGCGGCGCGCCGGTATGAATTGAGCATTATACAGTTCACAGAATCATCCCACTATCGTCCCCACTCTAATTTAGCGACCTATAAAAGTGTATGCGGTCCACTTGCGGTCAGTGTACCCTTGTCATTCTCTATACATAATGAAAAGGAGATACTACTGTTAAATTTAGTTTTAAGTTTATAGAACAATGCCAAAATCGACACCAATGTTTATCTGTCTATTCATAGGTATTGGGAAGCATGGCAAATTCTACAAACTGACAGATGCACCTCTAAAGCACTGGGAGTTTGAAGAGACTTTTGAAGAGGTGACAGTGGAGATAAAGCAAGATGCCAAACAAAAATCCGAGGACAGTACAAAGTCAAAAAGCGAAGACGTCTGTAGCAAGTTCACCGAGAAAAAGCCTTGAAATATTTTTGACTGATTTTTGTTAACACTTCGTGTATTATTAATTGTTAAGCTGTTTAATTAATCTTTGGTTATTTAAAAATAAAGCTGTGTCTAGTCAAGATGTTATAATTTTATTTTTGTTTACTCGGTACTACAAGTAAAAAGTGTTTATTAATCGATAACATTAGATCTATTCTTCCTTCACCCCAGTGTTGCAACCTTGGTGGTTTTTCCACCAGAACTGGTGCTTTTTCACGGCTTCTAGTGGTATATTTTCATGATCTAGCGGGTATATTTTTTTTAGCGTTTTTAGTGGTTTTTTAACATGAAATCTAGCAACATATTTTTAAGGGGGAAATCCCCTAACTTTCCGGAATTTCATAATGTTCTATGCTTACTCTGTGACAGGGGAATTCCTACACGCGTTTGTCTGTTTCCTATAATCGTTCATTATGTTTCAGAAATTAGGTTCACGTTCATTGTGTTGTTAAAAAGTGTAAAGTCGGATTTGCTAGAAACGTTTGTAACAGTATGTGAACTCCTGAAGCTGTATGTTTAGAGTATTCCATTATATGTTATTATGGAAATACTATTCAAGAAAAATAATTACTTACAAAAGTATAGAAAAGAATGGGAATCACTCGACGAATTCCAAACCTGGCTTAAACCTTAAGCAGGTGTTGATGCGAAGGCGTTTTGTTCATTTTGTAAAGCAGAATTATTAGCACAAGTAGTAAATTTGAGAAGAAATGCAGAAATAAAAAAGTACAAACAAAAAATGCAAATTCTATCCAGTAATCAAACGATATCGATATTTATTTCTTGATTATAAAGAATGAATGTAAATACATATTTACCTGATTTTATTTCATTCTCTAGTACTACTAAGGTAACGCTCGGAAAAGTTATAATTTAGTAAATAAAAACAATATTGCCATTTTTTTTTTGTTTTTTTGTCTAAGATGTAATTGTAATTTAGCGGATTTTGGTGCATTTTATTAAATCCAAATTTTTGAAATCTGGCGATATTTTACCTTTGACTTGGCGCCTTAAAAAAATCCAAGGTGGCAACACTGCTTCACCCCCTCCTCTGCCTGATACTTGTAATGCAACTCGCTGCAGTCTTCGTTAGAGATATTGACCAAGACCTTGTCGCTCATGTGGTACACTCTGATGATACCAAAAATATTCAACTACATCTACGGATGATCCTACTATTATAAATGTGAAAGTTTGTATGTTTGTTACTTAATCACGCAAAAACTACTGAATTAATTTAGATGAAATTTGGTACACATATAATTAATGACTTAGATCGAGGATACTTTTCATCCTGGAAAAGTGTCAGGATTCTGCGGGATTTTCAAAAAACTAAATTTAACGCGCGGACAAAACAAAACTCGGCACTACAGTAAAAAGTGTTTATTAATCGATAACATTAAATCTATTCCTCCTTCACCCCCTTCTCTGCCTGATACTTGTAATGCAACTCGCTGCAGTCTTCGTTGGAAATATTGACCCAGCCCTTGTCACTCATGTGGTACACTCTGATGATGCCGCCGGAGTACGCGTCGCGATGAGTAGCGTGGTAGATGGCGCGGCGACCCAACTCTGATCAGAAAAAGATATAAGTATAATTATAACTATAATTGCTATTTCTTCTTACAAATGTTTAATACTTGTAAAAGTATTCATTTGACATTGTGGATTACCTACAATGCGAAGAGATGGCGCTGCCTTGCAGCTTAAGAATGGCTAGGTCAGTGCATTCGCCCGGATAGCGAAGGGTGCGGGTTCGAGTCCCGTCTGTTGCCTGGTCCGCGTGGAAATTTTTCTAGTTATATTTTCTTTAGATTTAATCATCAAGCAGTTACATGCTTAAAAAATAAAATTTATAAAGATGTAAGTAGTTATAATTTTTATTTTGATGTGTAATATTTTTTCTCTCGCTTTCGTGCAATTTGTGGGAGTGATTACGTGAAGTGGGACGGAAGTTTGTAACAGGAAGTTTGGGAAGCGAGCGCTATTTGATTTGATTTTAGAACATAATGTTCAAATGGCTTATTCCTTTTGTAGTAGGTTTTATTTCATTTTTACTAATATAAGGTGAGGTTTCAAATGTTACACATCATACGCGACTACTGTAAGGCTCGCTCGTTTAAGGTACCTCAAAAGGAAAAAGCGGAACCCTTATAGGATCACTTTGTTGTACGTCCGTCCGTCTGTCAAGACCGATTTTCTCAGGAACGCGTGGAGGTATCACACTGAAATTCATATCTAATACTCATGTCTACTGTCCCTTGGAGCTGTGAAAAAATCAAACTTCTAAGCCATAGCAATCAAGAGATACAGCCGTTTACGCCGCAAATTTTCGAAACTCGCACGGGAATCAAAATCTACAGGGTACTTCCAGTGAACTTAGAATCTTAAATTTTGGTACGAAGTAACGTGTTATAGTACAGGTAAAGGAAAATTTGCGAAAACCGTAAATTTTTAGTTACATCATATAATAAAAAATATTTTTGAAAATTTTAAAGTTACTACCTCTTCTCATGAACGCGTAGAGGTATTAAATTGAGTTTGTGCGGAACCCTCGGTGCGCGAGTCCGACCTGCACTTGGCCGGTTTTTTAAGCATGTAACTGTTCGATGCTTAAATTTAAAGAAAATGTTACTAGAAAAAAATCCACGCGGACCAGACAGCAGACGGGACTCAAACCCGCACCCTTCGCTAGCCGGGCGAATGCACTGACCGTGAGTTACCTACAATGCGAAGAGATAGCGCTGCTTTGTAGCTTAAGAAAGGCTAGAAAGAATTCGACACGGCTACCAGGGCCGCCGTAGCATAATGGGTCAATGCATTCGCCCGGATAGCAAAGGCTGCGGATTCGACTCCTGTCGGCTGATTGGTCCGCGTGGATTTTTTTCTTTAGATTTAAAGATATAAAAATGTAAAATTATAAATGAATATATATAAAGTAAATGAATTTTGAGTAACTAATTTTAAATTTTTATTTTATTAATAATGAAAATAATATTCATAAAAGAGCTTCATTAGATATTGAAAGTTCACATTATAAAAACAGATTTATGAGCACTCATTTAAAAAAAAATCTCAAGAACAGAAATCCGAAAATTACGGAAGACTAAATGCCCTATCTCCTTTTGGTAGTGTTGTGTTTTTGTGTATAGAGTGCGAGTCAGTAGAACTATCACAAGCCCCACTAGGCCATTGTACCCTCAAAATTGTCTTATAACATAATATGTGTGTTAAAAAATATATATCCTAGATCTAAATATATTTTTTTACTAACACCAATTAGCCTAGCCCCAAAGTAAGCACTGTAAGGCTTGTGGTATGGGATACTAGGGTAACGGATAGAATACATATACTGTACCTACATATAAGTATATTTATAGAAATACATATTTAACATCCTTGACTGGAGTACAAATGCTCGTATTCATCACACAAACAACTGCCCCCACCGGGGATTAGAACCCGGGGATCTCTCGAGTCAGCAAGCGTACAAACCACTCGGCCACGGAGGTCGTCAAATATATTATCTTAAATTCACTTACCCTGAGCTTCTTCATCGCTGAGATCCCATTTGTATCCAGAGTCCAGCACACCGAAAGCGTAAACCGACCCAGAGCCCACGGAGAACACCTTCCCCGGCGTGCGGGTGCCTTCACTGTCTACGTAATATAACTGCGCGCCCTGGAAATAATAGATAAAGAAAATATAACAAGAAATAGGGTCCGACCGAAACTGGTTTTTACGACCGAAACATTCTTGACCTGACCTGAAAAAAATATTTTTTTTTCAAGTCCGTGATGACGATAATAGATAATTTAAATAACTAAGCCCTATAATTTTATTTTTTAAGCACTTAACTGCTCCATAGATAAATCTAAATAACTTATAGTATATGTAGTGTCGTTTTTTCAACACGTATCTTTATCGTTAATTTAACGCATTTGAAGCAAATTTTGTTCTAATACCTACTATAAAACTGACTTATTAGAAATTATTTTTAATATTAATGCATGGTCGGTAATATAGCCATTCTTTTCCTCTCGGTTTGTACCAGCTATATTGCTTTAAGCGCATTCATAATTGCGCGTAGAGTCAAAGAAATAAGGTCCATAGTGGAACACTCTGGATATAGCAATGAGTCTTAAAATTTTACGAGCTTGCATTTTGAGCTGTCATAACTCTTTAATGCAGGCGTTTTAATTAAGACCTTATATAGTATGCATAAAAAGTGACTTTCAATGTGTACTCCGATATGTACCTTTTGGACAGGTCTCTAAACTCGTCTTCTTGTCATACCTAACAAGCATCATGCCCATACAGTTGTATACCATGTTGGCCATGAGCTTGCTAAGTTTTTAAACCTGAATGTAAACTTACCCTCTTTAAATAAAACTAGTTTTTACGGGTTAATGCACGAAACTTTCTTTATTTATTGACGTTTCGTAGCCTTTACAGGTCAGAATCAAACTTTTATGTACCCTCTTATCGTAACCCGCTAGCATCATGCCCATACTGAGCCTCATGCCTTTGTACTTGTACACCATGTTGACCATGAGCTAGCTAAGTTTATAAAACTGATTGTAAACTCACCCTCTTGTCGTAACCTGCAAGCATCATGCCCATACTCAGCCCCATGCCTTTGTAGTTGTACACCATGTTGGCCATAAGCTTGCTGGCCGCCGCCACAGAGATACGTTCCCTGTTACGCAGCTCGTATAAGCGGCACTGTTTTGCCAGTACTCGGTCCCAGTATACGCAATCGGCTGCACCACCCGCAAGGGTACCTGTTTGGTTTTGGTAATGAAATAGTGCTATTCTGTATAACAGAGGAAATCAGAAGTCCTGTAGACTTGGAAATTAGTGACTCCTATTCAACCTTTACAGCTTCAACATCAGCCTATTAATGTACCCACTGCTGGAGCACAGGCCTTTCCTATGGATGGAATAGGGAGATTGGGCCATGACCCACCACGCGGGCAGTGTGGATTGGCGGGTGCAAACGACTGCAGATGCAGCCGGAACCAACGGCTTAACGTGCTTTCCGAAGCATGGAGGAACTCGAAATAGAAGATTTTTGGTCACCCATCCAATGACCGACCATTGCCTGTATTAACTGAATACAGGACATATACATATAAACTAATGGATGCCTGTGACTTCATTTGTGTGGAAAAATTGGCTATCCATACAAACTTCCACAAGGGTGATTTCTGATTAGCCTAGCCCCAAAGTAACTACTGTAGGCTCGTGTTATGGGCTACTAGATAGATTACATATACTGATACAAATATAAGTATATTTATATAGAAATACATAAACATTAGACTTGCAACGAATAGTAAATTCGGCAGTATACCGAATACCGAATATTCGGCGAGACCCCTGACCGAATATTAGGCAAAAGTATTCGTCTGGATTTTAGCGCCAAAAATTAATATAAACGTGATTTTTTCGCGCTCCTTTGTTTGCAGTGCAATTCAGTCAAACGCAGTTTCAACAGAAATGGATCTTTTCTTAAATATTAGTAATATATCACGTCATGACAACCCGTATACATGCTGGCAGCAAGGAAATTTGAATTTCCGTGTTTGATTAAGATTGCAGCAAAATATTTATCGGCGCCAGGAAGTAGTGCTTATTCAGAGCGCCTTTTCTCTGAAGCTGGGATGATCTACGAGCAAAAAAAAGAAGTTCTACTACTTCCTAAAAATGCAGAAAATTTAGTCTTTCTGCACCATAACCTTCCCTTCTAAATTTTGATTATGAAAATAATTCAAATGCATATAAAAATTCTTAACTTGTTTAATACAGAAAATGATTAAATTATATACCTGTTTTATGTACCAATGACTACTTAATAAATGATTATAAAAGAAATGAGTAAGGTTCTCATTAAATTTTGATTACCACAATAATTCAAATACATAGAAAAAAAAATGGAAAAATGGAGGATTCTATAATCCTCCATTTTTCCAATTCAGAAGATGATTATGTACCTGTTTTTTGTACCTACTTTAATGATTATATATAACAGAAATGAAAATATGACTATACACGTAATCAACCGATATTAATTTTTCATTTTACCAATTATTTCTCTATGACAAAATATATTATTTAAGTATTCGGTATTCGCCCGAATATAATAAAAGCAGCCGAATAGGCCGAATACCGAATAGTAACCGAATATTCGTTGCAAGTCTAATAAACATCCATGACTGGAGTACAAATGCTCATATTCATCACACAAACATCTGGCCCTATCCTATGTCCTTTCCTGGGACTAAACCTATCTCTATACCAAATTTCAACTCAATCGGTTCTGAGGTCCTGAACAGGTAGCAGAACAGAGAAACAGGCACACTGTTGCCTTTATAATATTAGTATGTTAAACAACATTAAAGTTTAAATAAAATATACACATCTTACCTAGTAAATAGTCATTAATTTCAACAATCTTCTTCATGGACTGTGAACCAATGAACTGACCACCTGTAGCCCTGGAGTCCACTGCAAGTAACACACCTCCCTGTAAGTTACAAAAAAAAATTAATAAAAAGCAATACTGCATGAAAAGCTCTGATTTTTAAGAAGCCAAATTGTTCAGAAAAAAAAATTCAGGACAATTTTTGTTGCCGACTGTTACAGCAATTTCAATAACATTAATAGAATAGATTCAAGTTTCAACAGTATAGATGCACTGATTTATATATTTATTGATGATTCACATCCTTTACAGTATGCGTTGGCTGCATTGTAAAGGAAGCGAAACAGTCAATAAATAATTAAATCAGTGTATCTATATGGAGGAGCTCGATGGCGCAGGTGGTTAGCGTGTTTGGCAGCGATCGTTGTAGTTAAGAAACTTTCGCAGTGGTCGGTCATTGGATGGGTGACCGAAAATTTCTATCTCGAGTTCCTCCGTGCTTCGGAAGGCACGTTAAGCCGTTGGTCCCGGTTGCATCTGCAGTCGTTAGCACCCGCCAATCTGCACTGGGCCTGCGTGGTGGGTCATGGCCCAATCTCCCTATTCCATCCCTAGGGAAGGCCTGTGCCCCAGCAGTGGGGACATTAAGAGGCTGATGATGATGATGATATGGTTGACTTGTTATATTTAATGAGTGGTCTGCGTGAAAACCTAAGAAACAAATAGAATAAATAAAATTAAATAGGTTGGCAAAATTAATTAAAAACAAATTAACTCTTCCTGCCTCATTCCAAAACACAGACTTAACTAAGCCTAATGCTGTCTCTGTCCCTTTATTAGCAAACAAAAGTGACAGCATAAATTTTAGACCAGCCATAACTTAAGTCAATGTTTTATGATGAGCATAATCTACTTGACTTATTAAATTAAATATAAAAATCATTATTTAAGTTAACTTAAACTTTTATTGAGTTTGATATTTAATAGGCTAAATAAATTGACATCATCCGTGACTAAACAACTAATCATTTTATGAAAAACGAATTGGCTAATGCTGCAGTCATAGACATAGTATTTATATCTACAGCTGAACTCTACAGCAATTTAAAAATTATATTTTACTACTTGTAATTGTTTCAAAAATAATACTATAATATGATTATAATTTGCAGTTCTTAGCTGCTACTTAGTTCTTCAGTACTTGGCGACTAAAGGGGATTGGATAAGGAAAGATCATCTTAGTAATATAATGATGAAATAAGAACAAGGGGCTCAGCTTTCCATTAGCTGTGGTTGAGTAGCGAGCTGAAATTTTTGTCATGAAAAGTGTTAAAATAAACTTTAAATATTAGAATTACCTTGTAGCGAAAACCAAGAGTAGTGGTTCCATGATCAAACTCGATTTTGATTTTCTTGCCTGTCTCATCTTGTGTGTTAAATTGTGCCAAAGTCTCTACGGGCTAAAAAAGATTAAGAATATTTTATTAAATAATAAATATAAATAATGATAATAATAGTAATATTCGGTGTAACCTTACGTTAGCAAAAGGCGGTGTAGCAAGTTGAGCACTGTTTATGAAGTTTTGGCTGTATCCGAGCACATCGTTTTGAAAAGAAGCGAGAGAGTCCACAGGTCTTAAATTAATTTTCTCATTTAGACGACACAAATCCACAAGAGCCATGTTAAGTTCTTTAGAAATTCAAAATTTTTGTTGAATGACAAGCAAAACTGCAAAAATGCCGATTCAGTTTTGTGTGATTGTCATATCAACTGTCAGTGTGAAGTGCATTTTTTTAGGTTATTTTTTCCATTCTGGGTAAGGCCAAGGTGTACAGTGTCGATTAAGCCAAATCTTAAGTTAATTATTTTGAATTTTCTTTATTCTAAATGCTGATCAAGTCTTCTTTTTTTCTTAAATTTCCTATTTAAGTGTGATACAAAAACAATGTCACGCTGCTTTAAGAATTATTTCACAATAAATTCCGAAAAAAATACTTTATTATGTTATAAGTATTTGAAAAACATGGTAGGGAGTCCTTTAATGCCTTCGTACTATAACCTCCTCCTGAGGCCCAAAGGAAATTTGGCTCGTTACTGGTTATCACCCAATGTTAAAGTACATTGTGCCAGTTTGGTTACTGCCTAGAGTCCAGTGGTTCTCAAACTTTTTAAATGACGGAACCCTTTTGGGAAGCAAAATACTTGATGGAACCCTACAATAAAACAATTATTTTTATAAGTGTATTCTATATTAATCAGCATAATAAAAGTACAATGTATCCGTTACTAATTATTATTTACTTCACCACTTGGTAAGGACAATAATAGAAAACATTAAAAAAGAAAAAATCTAACTAGTGGGAGGTATGAAACTGTTTTTTATTTTTCATCAATTGCTTGATATCAGGTTTGATGGAAGAAAGTTGGAGTCTCATATCAGCTTCGGCGTCCAGTCTATTGCGATATTTTGTTTTCGTGGCTGCGTAGGTAGAGAATCCTGTTTCGCACAAATATGTAGTTGGGAACGGGAGAAGAATATCCAGAGCCATTTGGCCAAGCATTGCATATTCATCTTGGATTCTGCACCAAAAATCATTAAGAGGCGTCGTTTTGAACAATGACTCCATACTTGTGTCTGATGACATTTCTAAAAGAGATTCATATATCTCATTTGACATGTTTTCAGGCTTTTCCAAGTTGGGTAAAAAAGGATTATGAATCCAGGAGTTCACTTTAATTTTTGTATTGTGTTCTTCGGGAAAATACTTTTCAAAAGATGCGCGCATCGAACTGAGATATTGGACCAATTCTTCAAACACATTATCTTCAAACATTTCTGAGTCGTTTTCGCTAACAAACTCAGTGAGTAACGTAAAACTTTCTATTTCTTTCTTACCAATGCAAATGATCCAAAAATCTAATTTTCTTTTAAAAGTAGTTATTTTATTATAGGCCTGAAACACTGTTGTCTGTTTACCTTGCAATGATAAATTTAATTCGTTAAGTTTTTGAAAGATATCCGCCATAAAAGACAATCGGAACAACCAAGTTTTATCATACAAACGGTCCTTCAAATTAAAAGAAGTATCTGCTGAAAGAAACATTTGTAACTCGGCTCTAAGTTCAAATAGCCTTGTTAAAGTTTTTCCCCGAGACAGCCATCGCACTTCTGTATGGAGCAGCAGTGTTTTATGTTTGCTGCCATAATCTTCACACAATAATGAGAACAATCGGGATTGTAGTGGTCGTGATTTGATAAAATTAATTATTTTTACCGCTTCATCCATAACTAATTTTAGATTAGACGGCATTTGCTTCATCGCAAGTGCTTGTCTATGCAGAATACAATGACTGGAACTACAATTAGGCGCTTTATTTTTCATTCGTGACACTGCTCCTGCTGTTTTACCTGTCATCGCCTTGGCCCCATCTGTACAAATGTCAATGCAATTGTTCCAACTGAGATTATGTTCTTCAAAAAATATATTTATTTTATTAAAAATTTCTTCCCCGGTAGTGTTTGTAAGCAGCGATGAACACATAAGCATGTCTTCTTCAAAAGAACTTTTATATGGATATCTCACAATAACCAGCAGGATAGCCAAACCAGCGACATCAGTCGACTCGTCCATTTGCAAAGCGAATCGTGTATTTTGTAGACGTGTAACTAGTTCTTGTTTGACGTAGCTTGCCAGATCATGGATTCGTCGTGAAACAGTATCGTTTGATAGCGGAACAGTAGAAAGATGCTTTGCAGATTTTTCATCAAGCATACATTTTGTTATGTCTAATACACATGGTTTTATTAATTTCTCAGCGATAGTGTGCGCTTCACCTGCTTGTGCAATGCGATAGCTAACTAAGTATGATGCCTCCGTGGCCTTTTCGTTGGTAGTTTGTGTTACATGCATCATATTTTTTTGACTTTCTAATAACTGATCTTTTTTGCGAACAAAAAATTCTTTATTCTTGTCTTTAGTCTCGGGGTGTACGGTTTCTAAATGTCGACGCAATTTGGCAGGTGCCATGGAACTATTAGGAAGCAGTTTACTACAGAGCATGCAGAGAGGTGAGCCGTTGGAATCAACAAATCCGAAACTGATATAAGATTCATCATACTTCCTTTTTTTCGTCTTTGAAACCGTCGAGCTTGACGTCGTGGCACTCGTGGCATCATCTTCTGGATCGGTGATTGCTAAATTCTCCGCGCGCATTGCTTTTGAACATTCAGCGTCATTAGAAGATGTTGTTGGAACACGTTTAACACCTTTAAGCCAACGTTCCATTCTTCTTTATTTATAATGTTACAAGTCAGGATAGTGGGGTTTAAATAATGCACAATCGTTACTGCGTATAAGAGACTAAATTTAGAACCTACAGGGAAGAAATGTATAAAACTGAGACAACAGAATACAGCAGGCAGTAAAACAATGAACACCAGTTTCTCGCTAGCGAGCTTGTAAGTAGGTAGTAACTTATCGCTCCGAACGCTAATCATCAACTGACGACGCCAACGCGCGATCGCCGCTTTTATACTTAGTCCTAGACTCGATCTCAAATATTCTCGAAAATACTCGAGTCGGCACCTTTGATAAACAAAAAGCAAAAATAAAAACAGAAATTTAAAAATAGCCGTTGTAAACAATATCGACTTTATCCTTTGAAGTTAGAGACGAAAGTCGCTAGTTGACAACTATAGCGTCTAATTCAGAGGCGGCTTTTATCAAAGAGACTGAGCGCTTACAAGTATACTACCCGCTCGTTTTAAGTTTGCCGCTGGCGATAGGTATGAGTGTATGACGTTCGAAATTTTTTATTTAATTGTAACAATAAAAATTGTGTACGTTAGATATTTGGGTAAAACTATGACACATTATAAGTTTTGTTGTCACGTGGGGGAGGGTACGCGCATTCCACAGACCGGCAAACTTAGAGCGAACGCGTTGTACAAGTATAAAATTGTTGAGACCAAACTTATGAGATATTGTACCAGCTAATGTAACACAAGCTTATACAAATACAAATAAATAAATAAATAACATTCATAGCGTTTTGTCTCCGCGCGGCCGCGGAGTCCGCACAGCCGCGGAGCGACCAGAGAGAGGTGTTTTGATTTTTTTATTTCTAAATTCTTGCGGAACCCCGACAGAGGTATCACGGAACCCTAGGGTTCCGCGGAACACACTTAGAGTATAGCTGGCCTAGACGAAAAATAAAAAGAAATCATTTACCGTCTCTTTTTGAATGGAATCTTTTTTTTTAGAATAACCTACACCTCTAGCATAACCACCGAAACGGGATATGGGGTGTATTCCGAAATATACATCAGTATAATGGCCAGTGGTAATGACGTCACGAATCCGACGCCATATTGTATTGGTATGCTTAACATATTTTTACCGGGAAAACGAATATGACGAATGTATGACCGAGCGTGTGTGAGATGCATTCGAACGTATTTCTTTTTTATTTAAAGAACAATAATGGCATCCGAACAAAAAGAATTCCTTTTAATTTATGAGGTGAATAAAAAATCTTCTTTATTCGCACTATTTTTAATATTACGTCAATTTATGACGTCAGTGCACTGGCCATTATATTTCGGAACAATTGTAACTGGCCAGTATACTGGTATGTATTACGGAATATACCCATGATAAAGCGATTTATCTGCATTAACTGTCAGATTACTGTCAAACTACACTGTAGTCTGAGGGTACGGCCAGATTGCACTCCTGATTCAGATTCAGATTCAGACTCAGAAAACAAAGCGCGAGAAAAAGCAAGCAACCTGCTTAGACTACACTGTTTATTTCTCGCGCTTGTTTTCGAAATCTGAATCTGAGTCTGAATCTGAGTGCACTCTGGCCGCACCCTGACAGTTAATTAATGCCGATATATCGCTTTATCATATCCCGTTTCGGTAGTCATGCTAGAGGGGCTGGACCTGATAAAGAAGAGATTTATGTTCTCTGTGGGGAACATTGGGCTGATAAGCATAAAAGAAATTTTGGTTCGTAAATTAAAATTCAATTATTTTATTCAATACCTTTTAATTTAAAACTGAAAATAATTAATAAAAATAAAAACTCAAAATAATTCGCCGCTGCAGTCCTAAAAAAGTAAAAAGGTACAAACGCTTACTGTTCCTCTAAAAGAACATAATAAAGCACTCAATAAAAAACTATACTTAAAATGTATATTTGCATAAATAATTTATCTAAGATACTCTTAAATATTTTTATCATTGGGTTAAATAAGTTTTAAAACTAAAAACCATAATGATTGCATGTATAGTTATTAGTGGTTCAATTAACCCTTACTTATTGGTACCTATCAATCAAACTTGAAACGTGCCGATAGTTTATCCTTCAATCAGGTAACGCTAAAGAGAATGGCAATCCAGCCCGATTTTTTGAAAAAAGGTAGATAAACTACCTATTATGTCCTTCTGCAAGTTACTAGGACTATATTTCTATTTAAAGGACTGGGCGGATACCAAGGTTTTCTAAAGTCCTTGTATAAGTACTATGGGCCGCAGGATGATGTCTTTCACTTGTCTCGTTAAATCGGTAATAGTATCATGAATTCATTCTTGTTTACATGAATTTAAAAAATAACGCCATCTATTTAATCAGTTAATCTCAACGAATCATTGACGAACCATGACCTACAAACTATGTTGCTACTGAGTACTTTACATGATTACTAGATGTCGCTAAAGAGAAATTGCAATCTTTGCCAAATAAAAAAAATTAAGT